GCAGAAACACACCTCATTTTAAAGAAGAATTCAATTTATTTTTTATTATTTCATTTTTCAAAAGAGTATTATTATAATTTTTCCTACTGTACATAGTCTTAAGTGTTTTATCATAGTTTTAAGTGTTTTGTATATAGATTTTCTTTTTTTTTTTGTATATAGCTTGTTTAACTAATATTTTCTTTACTTTCTCTTTTTTTATTATTGTTTATTTTGGCCAGATGTAGTATTTTAATTATGTTCTATTTTGTCATTCTAAAGGGACTTTGTCACAGAATAAAGTTATTTTCTATTCTATTCTATTCTATTCTAAAATCCACCTCATATCAACTCCGTCATCTACTCTATTCACCAGGGCTGTCATTCAGACTCAAATTACTCATATATAAAGCCATACTTAGACCTTCACTTCTCCACGGTGCCCCCCTCCTAAAGAAACTACAACAATACCAGAACAGCATACTCATGAAGGTCTGCAAAGGGACAACATTAGAAAGAAGAAACATGAAACACATCCATAACGAACTACAACTCGACTTTGTTCAGCAATACATATCAAAAAGACACATCAAGTTCTTCGACAACCTCCCCGCATCCTTTAACCCATTATTCCGATCTATCACCCCATCCTCCCTCCCTACCAGATGGCAAGGCCGTAAGGGTCCAATAAACCCCACCAACATAATCATTTAACCTGCCTCACGGCCCGTCCTCCCCATCCCTTATCCATATCCCTATTCCTCCCCCCTATTTTATCTTTTATGTTTAATTTTTTATTTATTTTATATATTTATCATTAAACGAACGGATGACCCTCAACTCCAAACACCTTAACAAGGCCTTAAGTGGGCAGGAAGAGATATCTTTCCAAAATCATTACAACGCACCTTCAAATACCGCAGGTAGAAAAAGGTTAAAGTAATTCAGAGTATCATTCCGTTAGTACATTGGTCCGAATATGACACTGATCTCATGTTTTATTTTTTCTCAGAGGGATCTGAAAAAGGCATAACATTCTCGTCACTCCATTACTCTCTACGACCTTAAATGTTAGATATTAAAATTTCTAAAATAGGGGAAGAAAATTTGAAAAGTTGTCATTAAGTCCTTTTCCATTGAGGTTAATGTCTACGTATTAAAGACAAATTTTAATTGAATTTAATTTTACATTTATATGACGAGTTTCATAAAATTATTAATCTTTTTCAAAAAAATTGTAAAAATGTGTAAAATCAGTTATAATTCGGTATTTCCTGTAAGCCGATTTTAATTGCTGCTGTAACATTATAGGCATATACTTAACTTAAATACGTAATTTCAGTATCATGAGATTTTTTAATTTTTTTTTATTTAGCCATTGTGTTCAAACACAGAAGAAGAAGATTAATAAATTTTATTCTATGACATTTAGTCCCCTATGGCTAATGGAAATGAACATTAGGTATTACATTTACATTTATCTTACACAAAATGGTTGGTAAAAAATAATTAAATTACAAAGTTATTTAACATTAAAATAAAAAACAGACTAGCAAAAGTAAAGTTAACAAATGAAATAATAAAATGTTTAAAATTTTGCACAAATTAGCGATATGAATAACTATAAACTGTAAAATAAAGCTGACAGCAATAAAATACGAACATTTGAATTTTACATATATTTGGAATATTGCTAGCCAAGGAGATCCAAAACAATAGGTTTATAAATGATGCTGAAGATGAGGTTTTGTGTAAACTTTCTATAGAAGTGGATAAGGAATTCCAAAACAAGAAAGCAAGCAGAATAAGGGATGTTTTAAAGGACGCAGTTCTACAACAGGCAATATACAGGTTTGTGGGCTGAGATCTTGTGTTTAAAGAATGTACAGAGAAATGAGACATATAGAAATAAAGAATATAAGAAGGTTTTTTTTTTGTTGAAAAGGCTGGAAAATAAATACTCCTAGGAAATATTGGGGTCGGAAAACTGGATAGAAACTGCCCCTTCAACTCGACATACCAACTGGGGAAGTGGAAGCACCTGAGGACTCCAAAGATAAATCTAAAGAAACAGTTCATTAATTACGTCAGTCTGATCTCATACTCAGCAAGCAGTCCACCACGCTTTGGTCTTCTCTATGTTCGATCACAAATCATTGCTTGCTGCCCATGCGTTAATTTTGTCTATATCTTTTTGTAGCTTTCGGGTTGCCTAAAGCATCACGGCAGGATAAAAGGACTGGTAGATTTGGAGGTCTGTAGCATATAAGTGGTATTGTGAATGTTGATGGATTAAGGAAGATCGTTTATATGAATGGAAAAAAATGATGATTAGAGCTACTTGATATGGAGAGGTTTTGGAGTTTTGGAGGTTTTGGAGTGGAAAGGATAAACAAATACACACTTTGCGAGATTTGTTTTCCGATTTTTTCACGTGGACCTGTTTTAGGATATAGATTTGGTCTTGCGTTATTAAAAAAAAAAAAAGCGTGCTTATATAGATAGCTTATTTAAGTTTTTTTAAATCTCTTTGGTACTAAGGTCAATTACTAAAATAACATCTTATAACAGCTAGAAGGCGCTGAAGGTCAACTTGGAAGTTAAGTCATGACACAGTCTTCAGACAATCAATTGGTTGTAAAACCATAACAAAATATTGATTATAGCAGTCCATAGACTGGTATCATAATACTAGGGAGAGAAAATGTTTTTGGAAGTTGAAGACGGAGCTGGATATCCACGGGGTATTGCTGAGATAAATTGAGCACTTCCTTCTCTATGTTTTGGTACTAAATGGCTCCAGACTGTGAAATAAAAGAGAACAGCATTGGTTCTTACATCTTTCAGCTAATTCAACCATCAAAAATCCTTAATTTACACCACTCAATCAATTTTATTTATACATTATTTTATAGTTGTAGATAGTTAACAATATACTTACTAGTAATGTGAAGAATGGTATTCGAGGTTTGAAAAAACAAAATGACAGTTAAAAGTGTTGCCAAGAAGGGAAGGTGAATCTTCTTTTATTTCATGATCTTTTTTTGAAAACATAAATCCACATATTTTTACTTATAAGTTTTATTCAGTTCATTATTCCCATTTGTACCAATTCATTTGTTCATTGAATTTTAAAACTAGAAAGTAGCTATATATTAGCCATAATTTTTTTTTTACTTTCACTTACATATAAATTTTCGAATCTAATTTTCAACGAAATAGATATTTTGAGGTTCCCTAAGTCCAAATAACCAAATCCCGGAAAATGGCGAGAGAGTGTGTGTGTGTGTGTGTGTGTGCGTGTTAACAGTACAGCTCAAAAACGTTGTACGAAAGTGAAATTGCATATTTAAGGTGTTTATATGCTTGGGATGTTACAGCAACTTTTTCGTCAAAATCGGCTAACCGGAAGTTTATATCTTGGACTAAACACATTTTTACAATTTTATCGAAAATGACTGTAGCGATTTTGATTAAATTCTTTATACCAGTGTAACATTAAGCAGTTTTAAATAAAATGTAGATTTTATTCTGGTTGATGTTCTCTAACAGGGCTTAAATGGCTAATTTTCAATATTAGCTTCCCCTAAAGTAACTAATTTTTTTTTATTTGAAAACATTGAACATTTTACATTCATCTCTAATATAAAATATGAAGGAATTGATAATTAACTAAAGGAGAAATAAGAGATCGTAACGAAAAATAGTTGTAATTGAGGAACCAAAGGAGTACGAGCGCACCCAAGCTCTACCGAACTCGCTTCCAATGGAATCGAGGGAATCCATGTTATGTATGGAAGCCTTCCATACATAACATGAGCTTAATATAATAAAGACAATATGCAAATATATATATGCGGTTTTCATGATTACTATTGTTGGTATTATTTTATATTTAGTTGTATAGATTACAGGAATATAAATATTAAAATTTGTATATATATATAAGGGTGATTATACAAATAAAAATACCCACATGAAATATAAATCAATATAGCATTTATAATTTTTACTTTCACTTCTCCTTTGTCTGAAAGTACATATTTTTGCTGAAAAGAGAGTGGTAAGTGAAAGTTGTGTGATACGCGCACCTCACCAGATTTTTTTTTAATACTATCATGTTAATTCTCTTTAATATGAGATGGGGAAACGATAAAAATTAAAACAAATTGTTTAATGAGCGCCAACGATTCTTTAGTACTCTGTTGCCTTTTTTTCAAATTAAAAAGGATATAACTGGATCAAGTAATTTTTTTGAAGGCAAGTCAGAAATGTCACTTTTTATAGAGACTATTTAATTTTCCTTCTACACAAATGGCACTAGAAAACATTTAAGATAAATCCACGGACCTCTATTCACTATCAAATAATAATCAAAATAATTAATGTCCTATTCTGTTCTGGGTACATTGTGCCTCTCTTTGTTTGTTAATCTTTAGTAGCCAAAATAATTTTTTTTTGAAACAGATAACATTTTTATTACATCTTAACTTTTTGAAATAGTATTGGTAACCATCATGACATACACAATTTTCTATTCTGTTTATTATTAAAAGTAATGATGGTTTATGAATACTTTCCATTTTGTATTTGTAGCCTTTATTATTCTGTTTTACTTAATATTTTAGGTTTATTCTGAACTTTTTAATGTTAATGTGGGAGAAGTGTAGCCATGAGCAGTTTGCTCATATCTGGAAATAAACTTTGATATTTTAATTGTATTTCATCTGATTTGCTTTTACTTTTTTCCACCCTCCCGTTTGCTTTAAACATTATAATTTCTATTTTTTATTAATTGTTAACTTCCCCTTTTTTACCCAACTCAGTTTTACTTGTCCTATGATGGATTTCAGTGAGCGTTTTCCTCACTAGTTAACTTCTAACATATCAGTTTTCTTACTGTGTGATTCGCTCAGCTGGATACGTCTTGTGTGATTTTTTTTGTTTGTTTTTCATCATGATATTTATTTATGAAATAATATTTATGTACTGGAATGAAGGGATTCAATGATCATAACTGTTTGATAAACTATAAATAAACAATTATATTTATATTTCCACATTTACATTAAGAAAAAAATAAAGGACATCATATCACATATATTTAAAATATTCATCACAAACATATTATAACATAAAGACATTAATAAATACTTTTAAACAAGAATTTAAGTACAACTTTATAGATCTCCATAAAACCAAAATTTATAGTAATTAAATATTTATGAAAAATAGTGAATCGTTTCTGAAAAATTAATGTTTTTCCTTTAGTACTAATTTAATTATTTAGGATTTTATTATGTGGTACTAAAATCTTTTCTAATAACATCAATCAAAGTTATAGACAATGTTGCAAGGTTATTATTATTTTTTAAAAATTTGTAGTTTGTTAACTGGAGGCTCAGTCCAAGAAAACACAAGCACAAAAAAGAAGAACCAATCAGATGTTTAGCATACTTTTTTTTTGTCTTCTTTGATTCAACAATAACCCAAGTCTCAAGCTAAAGTGACTATTTATGTTTTAGCTATATACCACTTACAAATATTATTTAAACTTCTTATTATATGAGTGCATAATATTAATGAATGTTTGATAATAAATTTACATGAAACATTAAGTTTTACCTAACATGGTATTATTAATCAGAAATTTAGGAATGCTCATACATAAATATATAAGATCAAGTGTCATAAACTTGAGTTTAAAATCCAAGTGTTCATCTGAATATGTACATTTTTGGATTGTATGTTGTTTTATGATCTACGTTTGTAAATATATATTTTTCTGTTTAGACATATTTACATATAGAAATTCCTTATGTATTTCTTACAAACTTACATACATTTTCAAATTTAAATGGGATGTTTTTATACTATTACTAGTGGGAAATTTATTTCAAAAACATTTTAAAATAATTTGTTCAAATAAAAATCAATTTACAGAAGTATTTCCATCATTTACAATAAATAAAGATTATGAATAAACACAAATAAACGATTGAAATCTTAATTTTGACTTTATGATTATTATCAAAAACATATTTTTCAATTTGAAATCCATTCCTCTCATTAAGAATTATAATTCATAATTTTACATTTTTATTCTTTGTTATTAACTTTGTTCTACTATGAATTAACGTATTATTTTAAAAGGTGGACCTTGAAAAAGCAATTCATTAGAAACCATAACAGTACATCAATTTAACTGCATGACTAGGAGCCTAAATTGGGAATGAGGTCTGTCATGAAATAGACATGAGAAATAAACAGAAAGTAATGCATTATGATACACTCAAAATTCGTTTTTATTATAAAAATTATTTAAAAAACAACAACATATTTCTTGAATCTATCTTTTGACTATTAATTAATGAATCTCAAAGATTATGTTGTTTACTATCTATTCTAACTATTGTAGTTATTTAGAAAATGTAAATATGTGCGATGAAATCATTCGCTTCAACCATTATTCTGTTTGGTTCAGCAAAGTTTCAGCTATTCATGTCATGACCTCATGGATATGAATTTCAATGTTTAATCTAAACATTTCATATATTTATGAACAAGAACCATAAAGTGCTGTGGTATATAAAGTTATATTTGCTGTAATTAATAACATACCATGAACCACAATCAAATTTAAACACTAACTTAGAGATCTTCAGAATTGAAACTTAATTTAGAATAGGTCAAATAATTACTCAATACCATATTATGATATGATTATTATCAAGAAAAGATATAGCATACATATAAATGTACTTCTTAGTATAAAGTATACAAAATCGTCTCTCAAAAATCTTAGCATAAATGATGGATTTGATCAATTGTCTTTTTACAATATAATACACCGATTACATACAAAAACCAAAGAAAACTAGAAAGTAAATGTAATTAAATAAATAACAATAAATATAAATATACAAAGTTAACCTAAATAAAATATAAATAAATTTAAAAATAGGAATTAAATTCAATGCAATTGACTGATATTATTTGTGCTCATTAATGAATATAAATTTGTTTACACCAAGGAATTGGTTTTTATACTTTTAGATATTCCTAGTATAGACTTTTCAAAGTAGACATTAAATGTCTCTTTTATTAAGTGTGATAATATTTTATTTTACAAATAATATATTACCCTTATATTAAGTGAAAAAAAAAATTAGAAATAAGTAACTTAAAAACTGATTTTTAAGTTCCAAGATTTTATTGAATGGCACTAAACAACAATCTACTGATGAATTGTCCTTTTTTTCTATTTGTTCACTTTTTTTTTTTTTTACTTTTTATTTATGTATTTTATTTCACTTTTTTATAAAAAGAGATTTGTGAACATAAAAACCATAATTCATATATATTTGAGAAATTATTACAGAATAACATTTATTATATACATATTGTCACCTATAAAACATTGAAAAAATATAATACAAAAATTTTAATACAATTATAATTATATTTTTAATATAATGTTAAAATTAACTAGATACACTAAATTTTGTATTTTTCCAGATATACACTAGTAAAAAAAGGAACCAAATTTAAATATTGTATCATTATTGTTGAGTTTCCTGTTAATGAAACATTTCATGAGTCAAAGTTATATTGATAAGCTATAATGCTACAAAAATATTTTATATATATATATATATATATATATATATATATATATATATACACATATAAATATATATATATAAATACTGTACAATTTAAATCAATGTAAAGTTTTTAAACACAACTTCCCGATATATATTACACATTCTTTTAATTAATAGTCAAGTTGTGAGTTTTTTTTCGAGAGAGCATACTCTTAAGGCTTGCCACTTCAGATGCTAGCCGAGCGACTTCTGATTTCAAATGGGTGTCATCATCTTCATTTTCAATTATATCATGAGTAATTGGAGATGTTGGAGGAGCATGCTGCTCATTTGTTATATTATGTGCTGGCATAATCCATTCTGCTCCAAGTGAAATTCCAGAATCTCTTTCATCACTACTTCCTTCTCCATCCCATGGAGGACTTGCACGAGATGGTGGCTCTTGTTTAATATTATGGAGAGAAAGTAATGCAGTAGCTGCAACATCCTTGTCACCAAGATGACTTTTATGTCGCAGTTTATGTGGGAGGCTATTGTTGTTTGAAGCTAGAGGAACCTCTCCACTTCCAGATGCAAGAGGAATTTCGTAAGAAATAGGGGATTCATTAGGACGACTTCTGCTCAAATTTAGCACACTGTTTCCAGCAGCTTCTAAAACAGGAGGATTTAGTGGTGGTAAGACTGGAGTAAATGGGAATGGATACCTGTCATTTTCTTGAAAAGTGTCTGTTTCAGTATACACTTGATGAATTGGTACTATAGGTGGAGATGGTCCTGTGTTAGCTGTTCGGTGTATAACAGGTGTAGGTATAGGCACAGAACTTTGTGGATACATTATTGGGGGAGTTAGGGCATTAGTGCTCAACTTAGCCCTCTTAGTAATACTTAGTACTTGATCATTTGTAGGTAATGTAGCCATCACTTGTTCAACATTTACAACTGCTTCACCACTGATACCATATTTGTCTTTAATTGCAGCTAACTGGGCTTTTAAAAAATGATTTTCTTTGCTCAATTCTACGACTCTTTGTTCAAGAATCATATCATTGTAACGACGTTTTTCTCGAGACCTTTTCGCAGCTTCATTATTTCTCCTCCTTCTATCCCAATAACTTTCATCTTTCTTATTATCTGGTATGAATTCCCGCTGTTTCCTCTGAGAAAACAAATCTTTTCTCTGCAAATGACTACTGACATCAAATCCAGGAGGATAATTTTCACCCATGTTGGTAGTCTCAGGACTTGAAGTCATATCTCCATCTCGAGGTATTGCACCGAGGTCCATATTTTGTTCAATAAATAAATATCCAGAAGTTGGAGTACAATTAATGTTCCCATTATTTGCTACAGCACTGTTATTGTTGTTGGTTGGAGTACTGGATGCATGAAGTGGTGTTTCCCCATTTGCTGGGGAACTATTCTGGCGTTCTACGAACTCTGCCACCATCATCTGGGAAAAGTGAGACCTGAAACAAAAAAAAACAAAAAACGCTTTATTATAAAAGTTTTTGCCACAAAAGTATTTTCAAATTATTTATGAAAAATAGTAAGACTGGGAAACTGTATAAAAATATAATAGTGTGATGTGTGAATATTTAAATAAATTCAAATAGAAAACAAAAGTAAAATAGTTTCAATTTACCAACAATACGAGTATCAGTAACGAAAGGTAAAGTATATTGTTATTGAATCATGATATCATTACCATAATTTTAATAGCTAACATACAAATACGAGGAATAATTTTAAACATTAAAAAAATCAATTTATCTTTTGTGCTTTGTAGGTAATTTATTAATATGATGCTGTGAAAAAATAAATCTTAATTAAGTAAGTATTAAATATTATCTTTAAATTTTGAAAAACTGCAGCAGTGATTTTATTCATGAAGAATACTAGCCAGAAGATCTTTCGAATAATTTTTTTTTTTTTAAATCTTCTTATTGACAAAAATTATTAAACAAAGCTACCATTTCTTCGCCAAATGAAAAATGTATATTATCTTTAAGACGTCTTTTGAACTCAAATAAACCTAAATTAGTTCTACTAGTCTAGCAAAAACTGAAATGTATTTTATAACAGCCAGTAAGAAGGGGTAAGTAGTGTTAAGGTAAATAGTTTTAAGTTGTTTAGAGAAATTAATACAGGGAATGATCACAGAAGTTTAGGGACAGAAATGAACATTTAAAAGATACAAGATAGATCTAAAAATAAGATAAAAAAAACTTAAAGCTAAAAACCAAGACTCTATAATGTTTTAAGCTATGGGGAAAACTTAGGAAAAATATAAAAATAGTTAAAACAGATTGGGTAATGACTTGAACAGAATCTACAAATGTTTTCGAAAAAAATAAAAATTTCAAGCTGAATCATATAAACAGACACAGACAAAATTGAAAGGCGTATAAAACAGAAAAAAATAAATAAATAATAATAACTAGGTAAATAATAACTACTAAATGCTCATATGAAATTGCTAAGCTACACTTCTACCAGTCCTCATATAATGTTAAGCACAACCTGGAGATTCAACAAAATATTTACTGGCGTGGTATGAAATCATAACAATTGGGATAACTAGACCGAAAACTAAACTATGAATCAGAAACAAAACCAAAATAAAGATATTGAGGAGATTGTGTAGATTTCTAACTTTAAGAAGGTGGAAAAAAGGACCAGGAGAAAAGAAGACAGCTAGGCCAAGAGGATTGCGGAGTGGCAACCACAAACTACTACGAACTAGGATGAAGAAATGAGAGCAACATGTGGAGGAAGTAAGGAGCAGCGATGTCAAATGCTCTGTGCAACTGAAAAGATTAGGTATGTTTATTATTCAGTTAGACTGAAAGAATAATAAAAAAAAATAAAAAAAATGCATTATGAGTTTGTTTTTATTGTTTTTTTTAATTTAGTCATATATATATATATATACCAATTCAACAATACTCAACTGAAAGCTGATTTGCATACTGTGATAATACAATTTTTGTTTTGAACAAGTTCAGGCTGAATTTAAAGAAAATATCTCAAATTTTGTTTAAATTGGCAAATAATTAATTGAAACATCGTTTGTAAAAAAAAATAATAAAAATTAAAATGTTATGTAACAATATGAAAAAATGAGATTTCGGGGGGGAGGGGGGAGGGTGAGCATCTCTGTACCAGGTGCTCCCCCATTCCTACTCGTTCCCCCACCACTACCCATCCCCCCACTCCTTAGTGGGAGGGGGAGAGGCACCGCTAGTGGTACTAAATATTATTATGTGAACATAATGAATACAAATCATTCGATATAAGAACGCCCACTTACTCCATCAGTCATGCTCTGGCTCCAGCACAGAATTTTTACAAACATGATGAAAAGACCGATGAAGTATATGAAGAGGATCTATTATTTGGGTACGGGAAAATGTACGAATTTAATCCCAAGCAATACCTCTTGGATCTAGACCTATTGAGAAACGAAAAACGATTGGATATAACATTCTAATTATTCTTTTTATTAATTATAATTTAATTAATTTACTATTTTCATTTTGGTTATAGGTTTAAATTTAAATTCCAACAAATCCCATCAAATCACTTTTACCCTCCGTCGTAAACCTATGACCTCTTGTCCTACAGTATCCTTCAATAATACTCCACTTATTCCTGTTGAGCAAATCCGCTACTTAGGACTCCACCTTGACAAACGACTCACTTGGAACCCCCATACCAGACTGAAACGACTAGAAACCGCCCGACGTTTTCGACTACTGCAGCACTTACTAGACAAACGATCTAAGCTTTCAATCAATTATAAACGACTCGTATATATGACAATAATAAGACCTGTTTGGACTTACGGAATTGAGCTTTGGGGCTCCACTAAACCATCGAATTCCTCTCGTATCCAATCCTTACAATCCAAAATCCTTCGTAAAATCCTCAACGCTCCTTACTTTGTCACAAATAAAATCATCCATAAAGACCTTAATGTTCCATATGTTTCCGATCTGGCCCAATCCAGATACCTTTCCTTCCATAACAAACTGCAGAATCATTCGAATCCTCTCGTTTCAAACCTTGCTTCCTCCTCGATCCCTGATAATCCTCCGAGGCGTCTGAAAAGAAGATGGCCTCGGGATCTTCTAATATAGAACTTTAATTTGAGTTCTACCAATGGGTAGTTTCTCTTCATGTTGTACATGCCATGTTACAAATTTCTCATTTACTTATTGTATTCTCTATGTAATACAGTTGTAAATTCCATTGAAATAATAAAAAAAAAAAAAAAAAAAAAGGTTTAAATTAAGGGTAGATACTTTCAAGAAACACTGTTGATTTCGTTGTTGTCCCGTAAGTAGAGGGAAATATTTAAAAGGTTGATTGTTAACATCAAGATCACATAAACAATTACCCAATTTCCAGTAGAAAATTAGGAAATTTAAGATTTGTGTTTTTTTAAGCGACTCATGCTTTTTGTTGAATAAGAAGCGATAACATTAATAAAAATATCTCATTTAAGTAATTAAAAACCATTCCATGGTAAAGTAGATAAAATGTACTTTAAAAGTAAGTAGATTTTGTCATTGTTAAAACTATTTAAAGTGGACTATTGAGCAGACAAAGACAGCTAAGTCCCGTTTAAAAAAAAAGTCATAAATTATTTGTGATTTTTTTTAATCACCCTTAAACTGTGCTACAATTGCCCCATTTCAAGGAAAACTTTCTCATTTAATAAGCTTTAAGTCCACATCAATTAAATTAAGGTTTACTAGGAACAATTTTGAGATTCCCCCCCACGTTGTGTAAAGGAATGTTGTGTTTTTCTATCCAGTCATCAAAAAGTACTTGTGTTTTCAGCAAAAATGACTACAATTACCTGTTGTAAAGCCTTTATTCCATTATTTTAAATATAAAGGAATAAAAACTTTTCAACAGTTAATTGGCGTCATTTTTGACGAAAACACGGGTACTTTTAGTTGACTGAATAGAAAATGAAATAATTTCTTTACACAACTTGAGGTGAATCTCAAATATTTTCCTAATAAACCTCAATTTAATTAACATGGACTTAAAGCTAATTACAAGAGGAAGCTTTTCTAAAAGTGGGGTAAATGTAGTACAGTTTAAGATTGATGCCCGAAGAACTTTAATCTCCTTTTTCTCATTGCTGATTCAAAGATTTCAATCTGACCATAAAACTCATCGTTCTTTTTTAATCAGCGTTCTTCCTCCGCTTTTCTTAGCCCGTATATTATTCTCAAAATCTTTCTTTCTGTTCTCAGTAACGATTCCATATTGGTAAATCCCATAGTCTCCACCTCATAGAGTATGGCCGGTATTGTGACTCTTTCAAAATGTCTAATTTTGACTTTCCTGGAAAGTCATTGTTATACAAACCCCTGACTAAAAACCTAAATGTATCCAATTTTAATTGATATATATATATATATATATATATATATATAATATATATAAATTATGAAACTGGATTATATTTTTGTTAAAATGTGAAATTAGAAGTTCTCGACCAATAAATTAAAATTAAAATTTTAAATATACATATGTATAATTAGTAAGCTTCAAAATAAATATATATCTCTTTAACCTGGAAAAATCCAGGTATCAGAGTAATTTTTAAATAATTGATATGTTTTTCTGAATTTTATAATAAAAATCATTCTTCGCCTAGTTAATAACAAGTAGACTTCATTACGGATTTCAGACAGGAACGAAACCATCATTTTTGAATGATGTTATTTAATTGTGTTAGTTTTTAATTTTTAAATGGTATTTTGTAGCTATACTAACTAAATAGATAAATTAGGAAGAACATGGACCTTGAAGTAGAGTATATATATATATATATATATATATATATATATATATATGATTTCCCGATACGGGAAGCTGACAGAAAAACTAACATGTCTTTTTAAGTTTGTGAGCTAGGTGGATTTATAGATGTAAAGTTTGCAGTCCATAATGGCAGATACAATGAAATAAAATAACAACTCAATGCTAATTTTGCCCCCTTTAAGACGAGGTCGTTAACGGAGCAGCCTACATGCGAGAAGGGGGTCAGAAGAGAGTTAGGAAGGATTTCGTTTAATGAATTAATTTCCTTGCTGGTCTTATCGACAATATTCCGCTCTTGGTAGCTATCTATGCCTCAGTATTTTCTTAAAAAGAAAACGCATTTATAGGTATTGGTAAATGAAGGAAAACAATTTAAATGAATCGCAAATGCCTAACCAAAATGATATGTTTTATCTTGAACAATATTTCATTCCGGTAAGAAAAGGAAACATAGAGATTAAGACGTCATAAGCAACAATTAAAATTAATATGGAAGCCAATTTCAGGCATTATACAGAATTAATTATTAGACTTTCCAATAGCAATCTCTTAAAAAATAGCAAACCCTTCAAGAGGGTATAAAAAATAATGATAAATCGAAAGAAAAACAGAAATACTTAAG